AATTAAATTTACATGGACTAATTTATTTCCATTAACTAGTTTTCAATGACTCCTGAAGAATAAATCCTGTTTTTAAAATTTTTCTTATACTTCTCATGTTTCGTCATGAGTTTCGTCATTCGCACTAGGGATGGCAATGGTCGGTCATTTTCGGCTTAGCTGACCGGCTATCTCGTGATCCAAATTGGATGATTTTGATACCATTCGAATCGTCTCAATGAGACGATTCGAATAGTACTAAAATAATCCAATTTGGACTACTAGATCGCGAGATACAGCTAACGGCTACAAGTGATATCGGCTTTCTTACTTTGTAAATCAGTCATTATCAAATAAGGTTGAATATTGGATATAATTAGAGGCTCAGTAGGTTTAGTTTTTCTTTTCTTTGCAATTATCTTTTTCATCGGTTTGTGCACGTGATCTTCCATTTCTTCCTTTTCATTTTCTGGTAGGTTGATTTCCTCAGCCTCTCCATCATTTTTCTTTCTTCTTTTAGCGACATACATTTCGAATAAAGATTTCACTGAGGGAATTTCCGTAGGGGACACACTCTCACCCTCCTGAGGTGTGCCTTTTAGTTTAAAGATTTTTTGTTATTTAAAAGTTGAGCCAACATAGTTTGGGCACGGGCTATGTCGACGGTTGGTCTATTCCGGTTAGTATTCTCATCATTGTTGATTACTCTTTGTCCTTCCGTTCCATAAGGTTGTTGATTATTATTATTGTTATTTATCACTGTAGGATATTTAGAGGCAATATGTCCCGGCTGTCTACAGGCGAAACATGTGATCTGTGCACGATTTCCATGGAATGGCGCATTATTCCGATATCATTGTTGATTTCCTCTAGAATTACTTTTTAACGACACTACTAATTCTTCCATTAAAGAAGTCAATTTCTTTATCGGTTCTCCGACAGGGTCCGGGATAGTGGGTTGAGCTATTAAGTTAGATGATTGTTGGAGGTAAGAGGCTACTGGATTCATAAAAGGTGTTGGATTATGTATTGTCATATTTCTAGCAAGGGTCAGTTCGCTAATTTTGGCTCTCTCTATCGCCGCTTGTAGCGTACCAGGCATAAATAATCCTACTGCCAGTGCTAGGTCAGGTCGTAATCCCTGCACAAAAATTTGTGCCTTCATTGCTTCAGGATAATGATTGCCGCCCACCGTTACTCGCCTAAACAAGGCCACCATTTCCGCTGCATATTGATCAACTGTCTCTCCAACCTTTTGGCGTCTGGTAAGTAATTCAGTGCTCCATTGACTCAGAAGCATCTGGGTACAAAAATTTAACCGGAACTGATGCACGAAGCTCGTATCCGGTCGAAAGTCATCTTCCCAGCTATCTATATGAGGCCTAACATTTCTCATCGTTTCCCACCACATTGCTGCCATCCCCGTAAGATATGCTCCTACAACTGCAATTCATCTATCTCCCTGGATGTTGTTAGCCTCGAAAGCATAGCCCACCGCTTCAAGCCATGCTACTGGGTCTTGATTTCTTCCTGAAAATGTAGGGATGGTCACCACGTTCGTTTCCTGTATTTGGTTATTTTCAATGGCTTGTGGAAATGCGCCTGCTACTAAACATAGCAGTTGATGTATTTGTTGTTGGAAACCGTTTCCTTGACCTTCTTGATCATGATTCCGATCATCATTATCAGCATCGAAAAGATGATCCATGACAGATAAGTTATTTCAATCTCAGCTTCTTTCAAAGTATATGTCCTTAAACTAAAAATTAACATCAACTTTCAGCAATAGTTCTTCGCTATAACATTCAGGTTCCACACAATCGGCACCAAATGTTACGACCGGTAGGAGAGCTTCGAAGATATTGGGTCGGTTTAGCTCCGATCGTGAACAAGGGGTTAGGTCGATTGTATATTTAAATTATGTGAATCAGAATTACGAAGTGATCTTTTATTACAATTCAATGGTCCTTCAGGTATAGGTTCAATTTAAGAATAAACGGATTTACGATTAGGGTTTTGAAGTTTCTCTTTATTATTTGTTGGTTTAGGGCACAAATGTGTTAGGCAATTAATAATTTATTTTTAGGCTTCGTTAATTTTGATTTCATTTTATTTGCAGTAAAATTTTCAGAGTGTATAATATTAATTTTAATATAATTTGCAGGTATAGAGATCTAGACTATTTGAGAAGGGTTTTACTATTTTCTGCATGAGTGGTCGTACTGGTCTGGCGCGGCACCGCGTGCTGCGCAGCTATCTTATTTGTTAGGTTGTGGATGATAACTGATTTATCATCAGGTTACTATATAAATCACGTGACTTGGCTACTTGATTCATATTGTTCTCTACAAATAATCAGTTTTCATTACAACTTAACTAATAACATTTTTATCCATAATGTCTGACGTAAGCACTGTCGTTTTTCGCGCGGTTTTTTTCTTCTAAACCCCCTAACCTATATTACTGGCAAGTCAAGTTCCAAAACCACAATGTCTACTATCTCAAACAAGCATGCCATCACCAAATACACCAAAGAATTTGGAGATATTAACATTAAAGACTGGCCCAAACTTACATTTATTATCACCTTTCATATCCCAGAATTTGCAAACAAATTTCTCTTACTGTGGAATTCTCTTGGTCCAGAAATATACCAAATATAGTTAAATTTCCTACACAATGGATATGCAAACACAATGACATAACCAAATTAATTCTATTTAACCTTACAAGTACCAAACGCAGCTTCGTAAATATTAATGCCAAACTGCCTAGAGTTATATGCAATTGTAACATAGATGTAACTATCAAAGCATACGAGATACAAAAGTCATACTATGCGCCAAAATACCCTAAAGACATAGTACGCATCCTATACAACCTAATTCCAGATATTGATACAGATGAGGACACTAACCAAAACAATCCAGTTAGTACTACGAAGATGATATCGAATAACAATAAAGGCAAAACTAGTACTCATTCACTTAAAGGCTATACAACAGGCAGTACATCAACTGTATCTACTAGATTACACAAAACAAACAAACAGTCAGCAGCCCAAGTCAATATTCTTGAGCATAATACTACCTACCAGAATACTCATGCATCTGCCCAATCCAATAAGATCTCAAGCAATAAAAAACAGCCTAGACTTACACCAATCAATACCACTAATACAAATATACAGGTACCAGAATCTCCATCAACTATATCACCTACACATCAGCTACTACTATGGATTTTACTAAAACAACCAAACTATCCTATAGTCAAGCTATACGAAAAAACCTTGATCTACCTACTTTTGAGGTACCTGATAGTACTACATAGGTACAGCAGATTACAAGCAAAATTATACAAGATACAAAACAACTATTTGATCTAAATAACTGGATATATTATACTATAGCTACTTCACTTCAAACCCCAGATAGTATATACCAATTGGTATAGCATAAAATCAGCTCTATCTATACTCAATTTGAAATACCTTCAGCAATTTATTTAAAGCTTAAACATCTAGATACAAAATTCTTACTATATTTTCTAGAAACCTCAAAACTATGTCAGCACATTAGAAAGAATATACAAACCTATACAATACAGCATTAGCCAACTATAAAACCAACAATCAACTCATGATTATAAATCAAAAGGCATGTAGAACTATTTACACTATGCTCAAAAAAATGCTTATCACACAACATCTTG